CGCAGTCTCGTGTACAGCTAGCGGCTGAGATTGACCTCGGGCAAGCATTGAACACAACCAACAAAGATCAGGTCTCGACTGAGCTACCCAACCTAGCTTACCTAGTGCGGTTCGAAAGGTTGCTGCTGCCTCGGGTGACAACGGTTTCCGATCTTCTTCTCGATCACGATCATAAAGCTGAAACAAATTGGGGGTCGCTTGACTTTCCTTTCCTCCTGGATACAAGTTCATCATGCCTTCATAGTACTCTTTCTCCATGTACAAGGCAATCGTTCCATCTTCTTCCTTTTCGATCACCTTTCCCAGAAAACGAATTCTGTCTTCCTCAAGCTTTCCGGTGACTTTTAGTCTAAGCTTCTTTGATAATTCATCAACGAGTTTCTGAATATTTCGATCGTCTCCGACAACCAGCAAATCATCAACGTACATCAAAACGATCAAGTGATTCTCCTCTTCCGTCTCTGCAACTCCTTTTCTATATCTTCCGGCGAAGATTGTCTTTTCCGTCACACACGCTGTCAAACCTTCTTGATCTAACAGATCGGCTAGGTGACGATACCATGACATTCCTGCAGAACGAAGTCCGTTCATCGCTTTCTCAAGAATGACAAACAAAGGCTCTCCGTCTTCATCTTCCATCCCAGTCGGCAACGAAACGACCGCTGGGTGAATCACGGGGGCGTGCAAGAATGCTGTACTTACATCTAAAACCCATGCTGTCTTTCCTACTCCTCCTTTCTTTGATTTCTTTCGAAAACTTGACTTCTGAGCAAGATAAGACAACACAACCTTCAACGCCTCTGATGACGCTGTAGGGCTTGAAACGCCCAACTCGGCTGCTGACGGACCTGTGGCGAAATCACGGACAACAAGTCTCGATCGAACGATGTCTCCTTTGATAGCATCACGCTTATTTACAACTACCCATCGGGTTGAGATGACTCGGATACCATGCATCTGGCAATACTCTTGCGCTTCATTTTTATTCACGACCTGACCTGTCCTGTGCTTCTCTAGGGCAATGACCTCTGTGTGCATTCCCTCGAACGTGGCATCCACATCTAATGGACCTTCACCTATATCTGAAGTCGCTCTTGATGGCTTTCGGAGTACAATCCATCTACCTCCAAACCACACTTTGCACGAATCGGCCTTCGCGTCGAACTTGGACTCCTCGGTTTCCTTTGGAACCTTCCTGCTATACTCAAGTACCCCCTCTTGAACTGATGACAAGAACCTTTCAACCTCATCATCCGAACATCTTGACAAGGGGTCTTTCACCTTTTCCCACAACTCTTTACCTAGATCTGATAAGCTCGCAATGGCGTTACCTTGATGATCATACATGTAGAGCTGCTTGATTGGCAATTCGGTAAACCCTTTCCAACGACGCCTCAATGGCGCGGTCTGAGTTCCGAACTCGCTGACATGGACCTTGAACTGGTCCCTTGGAATCTCATCGACTGGCCTTTCATCAACAGCATCGACGTAGTACGTCCTCTGAATACCTACCAGCTGATCCTCAGGCATCGGCAATGGCAGTGATGATGCTGCAAAAACACATTTTCGACTCCTGTGATGAACTCTTCTCAACACAAGCTTGTCAAGGTCAACTTCCCAATGGTCATGATTTCGGTTCTTTCCTCTCCTTGGGATTTTCTGGAACAAATCAATGTCCATGGGACTCTCCCCGGGTGATTCGGGTGCTCTGTACCCTTCCGGTACTTCTGTTGGCTCATAGCCTTCACTCATCCGATCATCCTCGATAGGTTCCGGATTCTTTCCGATCTCATATGGATTCGTTGGATCCTCTTGCATTGGCGTCGGTTCGGTATCCGCTTCCTGTCCCTTTGGCGCATGGAACGGTACATCATCAAACTCTGGAAATCTCTCTCCAGTCTCTTTCTCTTCATGCTCGCGATGAAATCTATCCCACTCATCATCGATAGACTTTCTTTTCCTCTTCTCTCGTTCCGACTCTGATTCTGGAACTCTTTCTCCCGACTCTTGCTGAGATTCAGGCTTTCCTTCGGTATCCAAGCCTTCTTCCAATCCTTCAGGCACGACGGGCACAGACGACTCGTCTTCGATCGGTACTATCCGTTTGTACTCTTCTTCAAGATACTTCTTGTAACGGTTCCGACACTTCACTGAATGACCTGTTTCACTCCCGTTCGAACAAGCTGGACATCTCGAAGTCTTATTCACTTCACTCCAATACCAAGGTGGTTCCCCTTCATGGATGGGCAAATCAACCAATTTCTGGGGTTTCGAAAGATCATTCGGTAGTCTTTCAATCCTGTCTGGCTTCACTCCACTCTTGGAATTTGGAATTTCACACAACATCCCAAGTCCAGCGACAAAACGAATCGGTGCGGCAATCTTCAAGTCTCGAACAGGCACAACCACAGTCTCATCCTGTGAACCTTCGAAGGCAACGAAGTGACCTAACGAAGATAACTTTGGGGTCAAGTAAATGCCTGGAACAAAGTGACGTGCGTTTGCTTCTCTGACCTTTTCCAAGTACCCATCAGTCGGCCTGGCAAAAACCAAACATCCAAATGGCATCACACGATTGGTGTTTGGGACTTCTCCTGAACTAGTTACACTGGCGCGCATACGTTGATACGGTGTCAGCGAACTGTTGGCTTGCAGCTGAAATGCATTGTGGACATGACAAGCGTTTGCTGCGGCGTATCGAAGGCTTTCACTACCTAGCATCAGTCCGCGCTGGTACAACACTGTACGAATACATCCTAGTTGAGTCTTGAGGGTCCTAACTGCTCTCTCGGCTCCAGTTGCGTGTCTTCCTGGACGACTAGTCTCATGCCTTGAGACAATCTTTAATCGAATGAGTTCCGAAATGAGCGCAGTCAAGTCACGGCCTTCATCACTGAGAACCATCGCACCTGTGGACGAACAATGGTTGATGGCAGCTGTCAAAACACGAATCGTCGAAGCTTGATCTACATAGATTGCAGCTGTTGCTATCATCCCGCGCGTTCGATTCCACATCACAACATACCTATACATGTTTGGAGACTTTGGATGGGTGCATAGGTTGGCAATATCCATCTGGATCTCGTTGGTGACTTGATCTGTGCGTTTTGGCGCTCGTTTCAATCCCTTGCTCATGAGACAGACTGCACAGCTTGGGTCATAAGGTGTGTGACTCTGCAAAATGTGCTTAGCTAGTCTGTTACCTCGTAGCTCGATGGGATATTCGAACTCGAACTCAGGCTCTGACTCAACGGTGCAAATGACTTCCTTTTTGCGCACGGCGTCGAATGCTGGATTCGAAAGATGCTTTCTGGCTCTTATCGGCGGCTCGACTCCCCTTTTGGGAGGAACCTGGACGCTTTGGATATCATGTCTTCCTTCGCGTCCGACGCTTCGGACATCGCGTCCTACTTCGCGTCTTCCCTCTTGTCCGAAAACTTGGACAGATGCTCCTGCAGTTGCTTGCGGTACGCAATCTCTTCCTCGGACAATGGCGCTTGAAGCGCTTCTGGCGGCGTAGCGGGACTCTCCCCCACCATCGCCGTCGGTTCCGACATTGCCTTTGGCGCTGGTGTCAGAACTACTCCTCCCGCTGTCGGTGGCACTGCGGGTTGCTCGAGAGAAATTCGTCTTGCCTTTCTCAAATTCTCTCGATCTTCTTCTTCTGCCCTCCATTGCAGGAGATCTTGTTTTCCTTTCTCGAACTCTTCCTGCCGGCGACGCTGGACCTCCTTTCCATGTTCCAGGGCTTGTGCCATCCTCTCTGAACGGTACAAATGAGTTTTCTTTGCATTCGGGTTGCCAAAATGAATCGGGTTACCAGACCTGGCTGCTGCTTCTGTCAATCAGTGAGCTGATTCAGATGATGCTTTCAGCAGCTAGCGCCATGTAGGACTTTGGGTTCTCGCATGTGATTCCCTGCTTCTGCGCCGCTTGCAGTGGCTAGAGGCTCTGCGACTCAATCAGTGAGCTGAGGCTGATGCTTTCAGCAGCTAGCGCCGTGTAGTACTAAGACTGTCTTGGGGTTCGTGTGTGACTTCCTACTTAGTGCCTCCGTGATCGGCACTGAGTGTGTTCTGCTGGCGCTGCCTTGTCCACCAACTTGTCTCCTTACATGTCTC